GTAGGCAGGCAGGCAATGTTTCATTACTTCCCAGTTGTTCATGTCTATTTTTATCCCTGGTCATGGCTGATTTGCAGGTTGAATAATTTTACTAGTGTTTTTGTTAGTATTTGGAACTGAATAGATACACAGAGAAGATAGGTTCTTAGAATTACTCTGGTTCCCACTATTAGGGTTAGTCATTAAACCCCTTTAATTATATAAACCAACTCAGAATTCTCCTAGTAAGTTCCCCTCTACCTTCCCCCTTTAATTTGGTTTAAACTAGCCAGATTAAATTACTGTTATGTATAAACAACATTTAAAGGAAAAAATTGGTATGGGAGAGTGTGTTGCAGCAAATAGCCCATCAAGGAAATATGGAGTATTTTGAGTTGGTTTTATCAAGCAGATTTGGAGTGAAACCAGTGAGACTTATTTGGCATTCACAATAACTAGTTTTCAAATCATTTCTTCTTCATTGAATGTTTTTTTTTTTTTTTCTTTTCCAATTTCTTTTCAGGTCCTAGTTTCTGGAACCTGATAATGTTACCTTATTTAGAAAAAGGATCTTTGCATATGTGATTAAAGATTCTTAGACTGAGAGATTTTCCTACATTGTATTCTGGCTGGGCTCTAAATGCCATTACAGATATACTTAAGGGGGAAAAGAGGGAAATCTGACACACAGAGAAGGCAATGTGGAGATGGAACAGAGAGATTTGAAGATGTAGGCCTTGAATGTTGGTGTGATGCAGTCAGAAGCCAAACAATGCTGGTAGTCATCAAGCCAGTAGAAACTGGAAGAGGCAATAAATGGATTCTCTTCTAAAGCTTCCAGTCAGGAGTGCAGGCTTGCTGACACTTTGATTATAGCCTAGTGAAACTAATTTCAGACTCTTGGCTCCAAAACTGTGAAAGAGTAACTTTCTATTATTTTTTTTTCTTCTTATTTTGGTACCCAGGCTTGAACCAAGAGCCACTTACCCACTGAGCCACATGCCCAGCCCTTTGCCCCCCCACCCTTTTTGTGTGTGTGTATGGTACTGGGGATTGAATCCAGAGCCTTGTACATGTGAGGCAAGCACTCTACCAACTGAGCTATATCCCCAGCCCAGCCCTTTCTTATTTACATATATTTTATTTAGAGACAGGGTCTCATTAAGTTGTTGAGGGCCTTGCTAAATTTCTGAGGCTGGCTTTGAACTAACAATCCTCCTGCCTTAGCCTCCTGAGTTGCTGGGATTACAGGTATGTGCCACCATGCTCAGCAACTTTCTGCTATTTTAAGCCACCAAGTTTGTGGTGTAATGTGTTATGGCAATCAAGGGAATATGCGCTGGTGACTTTCATATACATATCTTTGAAACCTATAAGGTAAAGGCTATGAAATGTATTATTTCCAACTTTAATAAATAATGTGCTTGCTCAAAGTTGCTCACCAACATCTTCATTTGAGTGTCTGATAGCAATTCTGAATACCTTGAGTTTGAAATGGTCATTTTCCACTGCAATGGGTTTATACTAATTAAATTACAAGTTTAGAGGCTATAAAAAAAGCAATACAATAATTTTAAAAATGCAGTTTATTTCTTTCTCTCATAACAGTATGGAGGTTGGTATATGGTCCAGGTTGAAAAGGCAACTCTGTCCTTTGAGGAACATGCAGGGACCCAAGTACCTTCCACATTGTTTCTCTATTATACCCTAAGGCAGTTGTTTTCAAAGTAGCTTCCCTGGATAAGTAACAACAGCACATTTTCAGCAAATATTGCAGCTCTACTGAATCAGAAACATTATAGTTGAAACCCAGCACTTCATTTTTTACTCCTTTGACAATGAACCTAAGACTTGTGCATGTTAGGCAAGTGATCTCCAACTGAGATATATCCACAGTCCTTTTTTTTTTTTAGTTTTCAATGAATATTTATTTATTTATATGGGGTGCTGAGAATCGAACCCAGTACCTTACACATGCTAGGCAAGTGCTCTATCACTGTGCTATGACTTCAGCGCCATCCACAGTCCTTGTTTTAAATTTTCATTTTGAGACAGGGTCTCGCTAAATTGCCTAGGCTGGTTAATTGTACTACCTCAGCCTCCCAATTTACCATTGTTAACTTTTTTTTTTGGTAGTGCAGGGATGGAAGCCAGGGCCTTGTGCATGCTAGGCAAGCACTCTACCATTTCTTAAGTATACAGGTCAGTGGCAATAAGTACACTCACACTGTGTACAACAATTACACATCCATCTCCATCTGTCTCCAAAACTTTTTTCATCTTCTAAAACTGAAACTCTGTCATGCCCCCTCCTATTGGCTCCAGACAAAACCACCTTTCTACTTTGTCTCTTTGAATTTGACTACTCTATATCACTCATATAAATCGAAGTATTTAGTATTTGCCCTTTATGGCTTATTTAACTTTACATGTTTTCAAAGTTTATCCATGTTGTCACATAAGCCACCATTTTCTTTAAGGGTGAGTTAATATTACATTGGATATTCCACATTTAGTTTATGCATTTATTCAAGGGACACTTGTAATCTATTTTGAAGAATGCTGCTACAAAAATGGGTATGCAAATCTCTCTTTTGTTTTTCCTTGGGGTCTATGCACAGAAGAGGAAGTGCAGGGTCATGTGGTGATTTTTCTTTTACATTTTCTTTGGTTTTGCTAAGTTGGGAAGATTGATCTCAAACTTGTGATCCTCCTACCTCAGCCTCCTGAGTCTTTGAGATTATAGGCACATTTTCCTGTGTCTAGCTATTTTTAATTTTTCAAGAAACTACTTTCTTGTGCACAGTGTGTTTTTTAAATTTTTTTTTAGTTATAGATGGACACAATACCTTTATTTTATTTATTTATTTTAATGTGGTGCTGAGGATCGAACCCAGTGCCTCACATGTGTGAGGCAAGAGTGYTACACTGAACCACAACCCCAGCCCCCACAGTGTGATTCTGATTTATGGTAAAGTTTGAGGACCACTGTCTTAGACTGACTGAAGTCCATATCTATGTCCCAACCTACAGGAAGGAGGATGGAAAGCTGAGGCAAGCAATAGACATTGCTTAACTCACTTCTGCTGACATCTCATTGACTCAATCTCATGACTATATGTCACTGCAAGATTAACATAGCTAAATGTTTCCTGTGGATGAAAGCACAATAGTGGTCTGCTGCAGGATTTCTGCTCCAGTATCACCCATCTTGGTTGTGGTACCACTGTCCTCCCAGGAGTTTACACTAGAAATCCAGCAGTCATGTTTGACACCACATCTAATCATTAGTTAAATCAGGTCTGTTCTTAAGAGCCTCTCTTTCCATTTCCACTCTTACTGCTTTAAGTCAGGTTACCTTTCACTTTTCTTACTACATTATTATGAGCTTCTGTACCTCCATCTATTCCCAAGCTATTCTTCACATTGCAGCCAGAACACTTTCTACATTGTTCATTCTAAGCCAAAAACATTCATCTTTTAAAACCAGTTTTTCCTCAATCCCACTTACCTCCTCTAATATTAATCTAATACTAGATTTATCAATGTAATAGTATAGGAGCTCATAGATAACTCAAAATCATACTTTAACACTAGACAAAATATTGAATACAATGGATTAAATTTAAACTACCTCTAATAATTTAGGAATAAATTTATCTTCTACAAAAGTATAAAAAACAGCATAAGTACAGGTGTTCAGTTTCACAAAATAGCAACATTATGACTGAAAAGTTGGCTAAGGCTTTTAGTTTTGCCACTTAGCTGAACTCTTTTTCTTTAACAAATGGAAACAGAAGCACACCACTCAAGGAAGTGGAATCTAAAAGACCAAGGACAAAGTGCTTTCAAAAAGTCGGGAGTTTTTTAGACGTTATGCAAGAGATGCCACCCTATACGTACCCTTCAGCAAAAGCTTCCAAGAGTTAGTGGACAGTTCATCTTTTCAACCATCTTTATAACTCTCTTTCTAAGACACTTTTCGGATAGATCTCCTCCCATATATACACGGAGATCTTGTCCTGTGTCTCAAGTGACCTGTGCGTGGTAGGGGCTAAGATTTGCTGAATAAGTAAATTCCTCAAGTCTTGAAGAACCATATAATGGTTCACAAGTTGAAATACCTATAAGAGACTGACAGGTTGGGCAGGTGACAGAGCCATTACAGGCCTACAATACACGGGGCAGTTACATACCCCATAGCGAAATAGTTTCCTTAAGTAGGCGTCCTGTATCAATCTCCTTAGCATTCTGTYTACCCCTACAAAATACAAAACAATTTCTTCATTTCAAATATGCCATGGCCTTTGGTTCACTTAGGGTGGCTGAGTTACTTCCAGGCTTAACTTCCAAAAGGAAAACCGAATCCCAGAATTGACCTTATTCTAGGAGGAAAACTTTCCTTCTCCAAATTTGGCTTTTGCTGCCGAGATTTAGTATGAATTCTTCAGCGCGACTTCTGAAAAGATCTCTGTTCCAGAAACTGCCCTCTCACCACAGGCTATCCACAGACGAGTGAGATCAGGAAGGCTTTACTCCACACTGGGTGGGCGAGTGGAAAGGCGACGCTTGCTGGCTTCTGCCCCAAAGTGCATTTCTGCCGGCGGGCCCGGAGCCAGGCTTGAGGATGGGGTGGAGAGAAAAGGTGGAACTGAAAGGTCGAGAGCCAAAGCATCCCAGGTAGTCCCTAGAGCTCAGGGTCCCCAGCGGACCAGTCACTCGCCTGGCCTGAAACTGGCTCTAGAAAAAACCCCAGGCGCCAGCAAGGACGTAAGTAGCTACTGACGTATCCCGCACCGCAGACGCTGGCAGAGGTCAATTGTCCCCGTAGAACCCCGGGAGAGGGGCGGGGCGGAGGTGCCTCTCAGGGCGCTTGCGCAGAGAGCCGGTTTCCAGGGCCCTGGCTGAGCGCGGGACAGGCACAAACGCGGAGCTCCGGCGCCCCACTGCGTGCGCAGGCGCACTCAGCGATCTCCGCCTTCTTCGAGCGCCCATCCCCTGCGGGCCTCGGGGGCGGGGCCTCGGGGGCGGGGCCGTTGAGGAGCTCAATGCGCATTGAAGTTGCTCCTAGTGCTCCCGGCTAGCAGCTGCCGCCACCTCCTCAGGTCTGCGGAAGTCATGTTACCCAACACCGGGTAAGGGGCTGGGGACAGTGCGGGGAGAGATCGGGCTGAGTGAGTGCATGGCGCGGTGGGATCGCTGCGAATCGCCCGGGCCAGTGAAGGTGCTGGGCATTGGGTCCTTAGGACGTGCAGTAGTGCGTGGAAAGTAACCCCAAGTTGTGTACTACGGGGGGCCTCCGTGTAAAATCCTCTTCCTCAGGTAAAGAGTCTTGAGTGGTTTTCCCACTACTTAACCCTACCTTGGGTTTAGAAGCAGTTACGTGGGACTAGCCGAATGCCTGAAAATTCTAGGTGAAAGGTCACTGGAACAAGCTAGTGACCTTGGTGTTTCCACTTGTTCGGAACATTTGATTTTAGAGTTATAAGATAGTTGGGATACTTAAATTTAGTAACAAACTGCTCTTAAAATGTGGGTGTCTTTTGGCAGTGATTTTTTTTTTCAAAGTTTTAAGCGAGATAACATATAACAAAATGGGCCATTTTAAGTGTACCGTTTGGTAGTGTTAGGTATGTTCACATTGTTGTGCAACTGATCTCCAGAACTTTTCATCTCGCAAAAACAGAAACTGTACCTCCCAGTTTTCCTTTTCCCTGAAGCCCCTGGAAAATACCATTCTACTTTGTTTCTGTGCAGTCTGGGTACTTCTAGCTGAATGACAACTGATACATTCTGTATTATCTTGAAACGGGCACATAGCCAAAAGGCTCTAATGAGTTCAAAAAGGTAGTAAAGAAGAATCTTTGAAAACGTCTGTTACTTTCTGATCTTTCCATTATAGGGGTTTATAAACTATTTTGTATACCATCCAAACAGGGACACTTATTTGAAAAAATAGTAGCAAACTCCATTTTGGCTTTGCTTCTTTTACTTAACATGCCTTGGGATATACAGTCATTTTCAAAGTACATGTATATCTTCCTCCTCTTTTTAATGATTGCATAATGTATTACATAGTTTTACCTTTATTTAGTTAACTTGTGCCCTATTTTTGGATACCAGATCTTTGCGTTTTTTTTTTTTTTTTTTGGTTATTCCATCTTTGCTTCCAAGATTATCCCTGAATTCTGTTTGCACAGTGAGTGTGTGTGTTTGTGAGCATATCTCTAGGATAAATTCCTGGAGGCGAAATTGCTGAATCAAAGAGTATATGTACTTAAATTTTGATCATTGTTACAAGATATATATTTGTCTCCAAAAGGGTTGCATACCCAAAATGATGAATGAGGTTTTCTAATCCAACCTGTTGAATTTGGTCAGAACAAAATATTTGATAATGAAAATCTAATTAGAGAAAAAAATGGCTCCTCATGATATTTCAACTTTGTTTCATCACAAGTGAGGATGAGGATCTCTTTATAAATATAAACCATGGAGCTTTTTGACTCCCAGAGGCTATTTGGTAATATCTGAGATTTTTGATTGTCATAATTGTGGGGAGATTCTAATGGCATCTAGTGAGTGGAGTCAACTAGATGCAGGTAAACATCTTACAGTGCACAGACAGTTCTACAACAAAACATTATCTAGTCCAAAATGTCAGTAGTGCAGAGGTTGAGAAGCTGTGGTTTAAAGCCAACTGTGTRTCTTTTTAATGACTGGCTTACCCAGTGAGATTTTTTATTGATCTTTGAGAGCTTGCATATTTTAAAAATTTATTCTTTATCATATGTGTTACAAATACTTTCTCAGTTTTTTAAAATTGTGTCTTAGGTTTGATTGTTATTTGTTTAACATGAAGAAATGTGTTTTTATGAAGTCAGAACTATTAATCTTTTAAGGCTTTTGTGTTTTTGGAACAAGCTCAAAGGCCATGTGTCACATCCACAGCCCAGTTGTGCCAGGCCAAAGAAAGTGCACAGAGACAGCGTCCAAAACGTGATTTATTGGGGAAAGCTTACCAGTGATCAGTGACTGCTCCAAGAAGAGTTCAGTGACAACAGATTGAACTGGTAGCTCTTCTGTCCTTCKAAGTGCTTTGCAAGCAGTGTCTACTTTCCCTCAGGTGTTTTGTCCAGTGGTAGCCAGCTGGACACATGACACATATCTTTTCCAGTGTTCTTAGTTTGGCACCCATTCCCACTTAGAGAGGTTTTGTTTTGTATGTTTGGTTGCAGAAGCAGTGATATCATCAGCATTAGCTTGTATACATGACCAACATATCAAGGAGCAGCTGTTATGGTGAACATGTAAGAAACTAGCTTTCTACATATAACACTTTCTTCATATAATACTAGTAAATGTTCAATTTGAATTTCTAGTGTGCATAAGAGAAAACCAGTGTCTTACAAGATATATTATGTATTTGGACTTTCTGGCTCAGGTTTACTGTCATTGTTCCCTAAATTTTTTGGACAGAAAGGGGGCATTCAGCAACAAGATTTTTTATTGTCTCTCTTTTCTTTAGGGATAATGGTACACCATGCTTACATACACACACACACACACACACACTTTAAATTCTTGTTATAGTATTTTTATGGTTCTCTACTTTTTTTAAAAGTATTTTTTAGTTGTTGAGGGACCTTTATTTTATTTGTATGTGTGCTGAAAATCAAACCCAGTGCCTCAGGCATGCTAGACAAGCATGCTACCACTTAGCCACAACCCCAGCCCCTGGTTTTCTACTTTAAAAAATTTTTTTTGTGTGTGTTTGAAAGGGATCAAATCTAAGGCTTCATATATGCTAGGCAAGTGCTCTATCCCTGAGCTACTCCCCTAACCTTATTTTTATATTTTTATAAATATTTTACATTTTATAGCATTTATATGTGTGTGTATATATGTGTATATTTTGCATTCAGATTTTTAAAAAGTAAGACTGTTTTATTAGAACTGGAGGAGTTGCTGAAGAAGGAATGTTCAATTTGAATTTATGAATTCAAGAGTGGAAAAGTCCTTCTAGCACCTAAAAACTGGAACTTACAGTCAGGAAAGTAGGATGGCTTCCCMTGTTCAGAGTTTTTCATCCATTTGAGATTAATTTTGGCTCGGAGGAAGTCCACTTCATTTTGGTTCTGATAGCCCTCCATTAGTTTCAGCAGCTTTGACCTAATAGTTAATCCTTTTCCTTATGTCAGCAATTCTACTACTATCACATGTGAAATTCTTGTATGTATAGGGATCTATTTCTGGACTTTATGTTCTATTATAGTGGTCTTTCTGTTCATGCAATGGTATCAAACCACTTAATTACTCTAGTTTTATAAAATATGTTAATATTGAGAAAAGCTAGATTTTGCCTCATTTGGAAATTTTTTTTTCAAAAACTTCCTGATTATTCTTGGGTCTTTATTTTTTCAAATGAACTTTTGAATAGTTTGAATATTTTTTTTTTTTAATTAAAAACTTTTTTTTCTGGGTGTGGTGTGCATGGTCATAGTCCCAGCTATTTGATAAGCTGAGGCAGGAGGTCACTTGAGCCTAAGAGTTTGAGACAAGCCTGGGCAACATAGCAAGACCCTGTCTCAAAACCAAAACCAAGGGGCTGGGGTTGTGGCTCAGTGGTATAGCACTTGCCTAGCACATGTGAGGTACTGGGTTTGATTCTCAACACCACATATAAATAAATTAATAAAATAAAGGTCCACTGACAACTAAATATGTGTGTGTGTGTGTAAAATTAAACAAAAACAAAACCAAACAAATCATTTTCCTTTTTAAAAATGGTTAAATATTTCTTCACATTTACCCTGATTTTCAGATCTCAGAGAATTTTAGTAAGTTGAGGTGTAGGTTATCTCTACATTTGCAAGTTTTAGCTACCTACCCTTGGTATTTGAGAAATGTGGACTCTTTCTCTGAGGTGCTCTTGTCATTAACATTCTGGTTCTAATGCTTTGGAGCTGGAGGAGATCCTTCCTGTAGTACCAGTCTAGCTGCCTTTGACTTTCTTGCTGCCAGTGCCATCTGGCTCTGGGTGAGGAGGAGAAGCCCTTTATCCTAGTGGGAAGCAATCCAGCTCTATCCTGGGCAAAGGGAGGGGCCTTTTAAAGCAATAGTTGGGATATTTTCATGTGAATATTTACATTAAATCAATTTAATAATCTGTGTATACTACTTTTTATATATGGAAAAGGGAATATTACATAAGCAGATGTAAAATGTCATATATATATATATATATATATATATATATATAGTGTGTGTGTGTGTGTGTGTGTGTCTGTTTGCATATTTCTGGAAAAATAAATACAGAAAGGATCAACCAGAAATCAGTGAAGCATGTAACCTCCAGGTAAAGTACCAGACTTCTTTGAATGTAGTATAAGATTTTTTTTTATAATTTTTAAATTTGTTTTAATTAGTTATACATGACAGTACAATGATCTTGACAATACATTTGAATCAGACGGGATATAATTTCTCATTTTCTGAGTGTACAGGTTGCAGAATCACATTGGTCATGCAGTCACATATATACATACAGTGATAATTATTTCTATTTTATTCTGCTGTCCTTCCATTCCCCCCTTCCCCTCSCCTCCCCTTCCATCACTTTTCTCTACCCAATMTAATGTGACATACTTTTTTTTCCTCACATTGTCATACATGTATTCTGTATAAAGATGAGGGTCTCCTTCCATTTTCCGTGCAATTTCCCTTCTCCCTCCCTTTCCCTCTAGTACAAGATTTTGACTTTTAAACSATGTACATATTTTACAATATCCCTTATCAAAGATGAGGGGATAGAAAAACTAAAATTGAATTAAAAAATAAACAAACTTAGCTACATMTCAAACTTAACACATAAACATACAAGGAAAAGAACAAATTCTTAAAATTTTTTAAAAAAATATTTATTTTTTAGTTGTTGTTGGACACAATATCTTTATTTTATTTATTTATTTTTATATGGTGCTGAGGATCAAACCCAGGGCCTTGCACATGCTAGCCAAGTACTGTACCGCTGAGCCACAACCCCAGCCCCAATTCTCATAATTTTTGATGTATGATCTGTCTATACATTTTAAAGGGATTTGAGCTGAAGGCAAAAAGAAGTGCAAAGAAATCT